TGTGGCTGATTCTTTGGGTTTTCAGACATAAACAACTGTGTGAAGCTTAAGTCCTGATTATCATTGGCTGAAAGTCCGTGTGCCAGTTGAATTTCCCTGTTGCGAGAATTGCTGAGGATGCAGCAACTCCTGGGAATCAGGTGCATTTCGGATCAGGGCTCTGGTTGGCTCTTCAGGTGGGCCAGGATGGGAAGCAGATGCCCCAAGAACGTCTGGGAAGCTGGCAGCCCCCTTGCACCCCAAAGAATCAAGGGGGAGCTGTTTGGAATGGTGGCCTTGCTCAGCTCCCAAGGCTGAGCCATCCTTCCCTTTCTCCTTTACGGTCTCTTAAAACGGTTGCAGTTGCCTTGCAGTCCATTACCTCTTCATCCTCTCTGCATTGTTTAAAAATGCAACATTAATGGGATGATGGAAAGGAGTAAGTGAACAGGGGAAAAATAAAATTGTGAAACCTGATCACATACTCGGATCACAAGGGCTCATAAGGATCAGGCACTTTGCGAGAAATTGGCTCACGTATTACATGCTAAGAAAATAGGAATTCACCCCAAGTCAGAAATGGGAATTGGTCCCACAAGGGAAGCTTCAACCTGCTTGGTTTTCCTTCCTTCCCTCCTTCCTTCCTTCCTTCCTTCCTTCCTTCCTTCCTTCCTTCCTTCCTTCCTTCCTTCCTTCCTTCCTTCCTCTTTCCTCTCCTCTCCTCTCCCCCTTTCCCCTTCCCTTCCCCTCTCCTCTCCTCGTCTCTCTTCTTTCCTCCCTCCCTCCAAGTTGCCATGGCCTTCTATTTGCCATGCCATGGTCCACTTCTGACCTGCTGGTCCACCTGCCACCCTGAAAGTCAGGGTGCTGCCCCTGCAGATACCTTTAGCCTGGGCAGAGAAGAGTGGCTCAGTGCCATGAAGAGGGAAGCCGCAGTCCTGAGGACGAGGGCAAACAAGCAGAGGTCAGAGAAGGCAACCCAGAACCGGTGGATGAGGACCACCTGGGTTCAGCCACCGGAGCTGAGACAGGCCTCATTTCCTTGTGTTCTGGAATAATGGCCCTTCCCTTGAAATCGGCATAGAATTGCAACCGAGCAGAAATTGGGGTTCTGTCTTTGCTTGCAGAATGCCCCAGTTCTGGTTTCTGAGAGGGAGGGGGAAGGGAAAAGCCTCAGGCAAGGAGGCCGTCTGAGCATCCCTGAGCCGGATGGCCAGCGGGCTGCTCCGAATACGGCCGCCGTCTTGGCTAGTGCAGGGAAGGAGGAGGACAAACACAGCAGTTCCGCATCGGAGAGCGGCGGCTTCCACACCAGTCAGGAACCGGGTGTAGAAAGAGTCTCTGGCCATGTTCCTATCCTGCCCTTGAGCAGCTCCTTTGCAGACGGTGCAGCTGTGCTGACCTTGGTTAAAGCCACCTTTAAATCCAGCTGGGCTGGGATTAACCAGAGGGGTCTTCCAAGAACTTCCGGGCAGACTTGAGTCTGGGTCTGCCTTGGTCTACTCCAGAGCTCTCCAAACGTGGCAATGATGGCTGGGGAATTCTGGGAGTTGAAGTCCACAAGTCTTAAAGTTGTTAGGTTTGGAGACCCCTGCTCTACTCCAACACATGGCTCAGGCACCACACTGGCCTGCTGGAGAAGCCAGGAAAGGGCTTCCCTCCCACTGCTTTGCCAAGCCAGATGTGGGAGGGTTTTTATTTTTCTGCAATGGCACCCTTGGATTTGCCCGGGCATCCTGGCTTCCCCACCGGAGCTGTGTGCTGCTGCCCAAGGAATCAAACAGCTGAAGCAGCTTCATAGTTCACTCCCTTGCCTCATCTTTCAAGCAGAGACCAACCTGGAACTAAGGAGAAATTTCCTGACAGTGAGAACAATTAACCAGTGGAACAATCTGCCTCCAGAAGTTGTGGGGGTTCCATTACTTCAGGTTTTTAAGAAGAGACTGGACAGCCATTTGTCTGGGGTGGAATAGGGCAAGGGTGTTCAAATTTGAGTACTTTAAGACTTGTGGACCTCAACTCCCAGAATTCTCAAGCCAGCAAAGCTGGCTTGGAAATGCTGAGACTTGAAGTCCACAAGTCTTAAAGTTCCAAGGTTGGACACCCCTGGTATGGTGTCCCCTGCCTGAGCAGGAGGTTGGACTACAAGAAGATCTCCAAAGTCCCTTCCAAGCCTGTTATTCTGTTACCCCCAAGGAACGCCCATCTGGCCAGAAATGTGGCCCCACAAGAGCACGTCCCCTTCCTCTGAATTCCCCAGCCCCTTCCTCTGCTGTGCTGCTGGTCTCTTTGTTCCCTATCGTGGGCAGCACAGAGAAGGACAGCACGACTAGTGAGGGCACTCTGCACATGGCCACTCATGTCTCTCTTTGCAACTATGTAGGTTTTCCCCACTTGGGATCTGGCAATGATTCAAGGACCTCATTTCTGCATCGGTTCAACCTTCAGGATGATTACTCAGCTTTGCAAAGGAGGCCTTTTATTTTTAAGTGGTTCCAACGCCCTGCCAGCCTCATAAAAGAGGCAGGAGAACCACCCAGCCTCCGAAAGCAATCAGAGAACCCGGAACCTGGGCCTGGCCGGTGTCTCATGGGCTGGGCGCCTCCCCCCCTCCCAGGATGGGATGCTTGGCAGGAGAATAGAGAAGGTTGTTGGAGGGCCCAGTAACTCTACCAGATTATGGTCTGCCGTTAATGCACCCAACAAACTTCCTGTATTTCAAATTCAATTCAGGGTGATTATAGTCCAAGTGAGTGAATAATTTAAAAATATTTCCAGGATCTCACGAAGCCACTCCTGCTAAAGAATGAATGTCCATCACTCCTGAGGCTTTTTCATCCTCCTCAGTTTAACAGCATAACAGAGTTGGAAGGGGCCTTGGAGATAACAGAACGATATGTAACAGTAACAGAGTTGGAAGGGACCTTGGAGGTCATCTAGTCCAACCCCCTGCTCAAGCAGGAGACCCTATGCCATTTCAGAGAAATGGTTATCCAATGTCTTTTTGAAGACCTCCAGTGATGAGACCCTCACAACTTCTGAAGGCAAGTTGTTCCACTGTTCCATTGTTATGTCAGGAAGTTTCTCCTTAATTCTCGGTTGCTTCTTTCCTTGACGAGTTTCCATCCAGTGTTTCTTGTCCTGCCCTCGGGGGCTTTGGAGAACAGGTGGAGCCCCTTCTTCCTTGTGGCAACCCCTGAGATATTGAACACCATCAACCAGCCTGCTCCCTCACCCAACCCTCCAAGGATGACCCAGAGGCCTTAATTTATCCTGGGGACGAAAGGGTGGCCGCCTCTGCGCCTCCCTGCACACCTGCCAAGCACTTCAGAGTTGTGTGAAGGGCACGGCCTGGAAAAATGATGACGTGTCTCAGTATTGACAATAAAAGAGCCACGATATGCTGAAAATGTTAATTGCTGGTATCAGGGATGACCTCATCCTGCTGCTTGGTGCTGGGATGATGCAGAAATCCCAGGGTTTGGCAGGTGGGCTTCTGGGAGGGGATGGCTGGGAAGATGGAGAGAGGAAAAAGGACCCCAGCTGGGAATAAGCAGAAAGAGACACAGGTCTTGTCTTAATCGGGGTGGCAGGTTTTGGGCAAGTGGCGACTCTTGCCCACCTCCGTCTGCCAGACACAATGAGCTCTGAAGACGGTGCCACTGGCCAGAACAGCCAAGCAGAAGGAAAGGGCCAAGGAAGACCATGGTGGGGGGGGGGCAGTTGTGTTACTCACAACCGTGAGAGTCCAGCAGAGCTCCAGATGGAGGCGGGTTTCTCCCCACCCACGGAGGGAGGGGGCCGCCATGAGCCCCACCAGAAAGGGCAAGATGTCGAGATGGGTACCCATGACGGGTGGGCTTGTGGGCAAGATCCCCTCCCAGGTGGGCTGGCAAGTTGCCTTACCTGAAGCAGCCCCAAGGGTGGGCAGAAAAGGCCCCCTCGCCCAAGCCCAGCTTCCCTCGGCCAACTGCAGGTCCCTTCCATCGGGACTGGGGGAGGGGAGGGGGCTCCCCCGTGCTCATCCTCCTCCAGCTGACCTCCAAGGTCAGAGGGCCTGCAGCCCAAGGCCTGCTCTGCTCTGGGCTGAGCTGGGGGCCGCCCCAGGGAATGGAAACCTGGTAGAAACGGTGGCTCCCCCTCAGATCTCAGCTGGCTTCTCAAGACCCTCCAAACTGCGGCTGGCCTTTTAAGGCTCTCCGGGCAGGTTCTGCCTCTCTCAAGACAGAAGCATCTCCCCAGGATGCCCAACTGACCCGTTCGTTCGTTCGTTCGTTCTCTGCATTTGGCCAGCAGGGCTGGGTCTGCCCCACCCTCTGGAAGGCCCCGTGTGGACCCCTCCCCGGAGGGCCTCCTCCAAGCAAGACAATGGCCTCCCAGGGGCTCTGGCCCACTCCAGCCACATTGGGGGGGGGGGGGGGGGGGGGGAGACTTTTGCTGCAGTCCTGGCTTTCCATCTCGGTTACATGATTTGAATGTAGAGATTAGGCCAGCCTTTCTGGCTTTCAAAGGACGGTTTCCATAACAACCATGTTCTCATCAGGTTGCTTAACTCTTCCACCGCTGGACCAGCCTCTCCGCCTAGGTGGACTTCCCCCAGGATGGGTGCTGGAGGGGCACGTTTGGCTTCCCCTTCTCCATTTAGGTTATGGGGGGGGAGGCATCCACCATGGGGGAGGTAGCAAGGGCAGGGCAGGAAGCAGGCTGAGCCTCAAGGAAGCCTCAAAGGTCAGGAGATGCCCAGGGAGGGTTGGGGTTTCTGCTCCAGCAAAAGAGGCTCTGAGGTCCCCCCAAGGAGGGGGGGTGAGGGAGAACGGGGCTCCCCCTCCCTAATCAGCCACCGGCTCAGCTGTTGCAATTAAGGCTAATTGCAGGAAGGAGAGCGAAGGGCCGCCTGTTTTTCCAGGCCCAGCAGGTCCCCTGGCGGGGGGGGGGGGGGGAAGGGAGGGGGGGGGGGAGGGAGGGTGAGGCAGCCGGTGGTTTCTGGGCTTCATGGGAGTTTCCTCCTGCTTCCCTTGTAGACCCTCCCAGGACATCAGCCTGGAAGAATTTGACGACGAGGACCTGTCCGAGATCACAGACGATTGCGGCATCGGCCTGAATTATGATTCGGATCACAATGAGAAGGTGAGAGAAGCTGGCGGGTGGGAGGGGCTGGCAAGTGGGGGGGGTGTCTGCCCCTCTCCTTTTACACTGGGGGACCTCGCAGTTCACCTCCCCTCTTGCTGCAGGATCTGCCCTTGATGGAGAGCCTGGCTGGGTTGCTTGCGGGAGCCTTCCACAGGCCTTCGTCCATCCACCCTCCACCCTCCCAGGAGACCCTCCGTGGGGGAGGGGGCCTGCTCTCTTCTTTAAAGGGCAGCTGCTGGTTCAAAAGAGGCAGACAGGGTGGGGGGTGGGGAGCCTGGCTTGATCCTGACCCTTGTGTGCTGGTCAGCTGGGTCTTGTCCCTGCATGGACTGGACGTTTGGGTCACAGCAGCAACAAGGAAAAGAGAGTTGGGACTCAACGCAGAGACCACCCACCCAAGTTGGTCCCGGGGGAGGCCATGAGCAGGGTGCAGGCAGGGAAGGGACCCACCAGGAGGCTGAATCAGCTCTGGAGGGATCCGGCTCTCCAGTCCAGGCCATTGAGCCAAGCCCCCCCCTTCTCCCAAATGAAAACCCTCATTAAAGACCCCCAGGAGCCCCCCAGGAATGTGAGTTCCCTGCCTGCCAATCCAGATCTTTCTCTCTCTCTCTCTCTGATCATTATCCTCATGATTTGGGGATCCTTGAAAAAGACCAGCACAGATTCCAGCAGCCGGGTCTACCGTCCCACCAGACCAGGGGTGAAATGCTCCCGGTTCGGACCGGCTCGGGCGAGTAGGTAGCGATGGCGGCGGGCAGTTCGGAGAACCGGTAGCAAAAATCCCTGCCCCCGCCCCCTATGCCCAGCTGAGCCACACGATCATCAGAGGCTTTTTTTCTTTTAAATGCCTCTGACGAGCCAAACTCTGACGATCTCAGCAGGCAACTCAGCTTGGATCGTCAGAGCCATTTAAAAGAAAAAAAGTTTTTTCTTTTAAATGGCTCTGAGGATCCAAGTTCTGACGATCCCAGCTGAGTTGCCTGATCATCAGAGGGTTTTTTAAAAGGCAACTCAGTTGGGATCGTCAGAGCCTTTTGAAAGCATTTTTTTACATGGTTTTACATGTAAAAAATGGTTTTAAAAGTAAAAAAAAAAAATTGGGCATGCCCATCCAGTCACATAACCCCCCCACCAAGCCACGCCCACAGAACTGGTAGTAACAAATTTTAGATTTCACCCCTGCACCAGACCCCAAAGGAAGGCTGCAAGACAGACAGATCAGCCTTCTTGCATTCAAAGTGGCTGCCTACCCTGCCCCCTGCCAGGTCACCCCCCCCCCCCCTTTCCCCTTTGTTTGCCTGAAAAAGCACCCGGTTAGGCAGTGATTAGCACGGCCCCCCCCCCCACCGCATGGAAGGATGTTAATGCAATTCCTGGGGGCTCCCCAAGGAAGGTGGGTTGCCCATTGCTGCTGGGTGGGGGGCTCCTGCTGGGTCCCTTCTTCAAGGGGGGGGGGTTTGAGAAGAGCTGGGTTCTTCTCCCACACCTCCCCATGGCTGCAAGAGATTGGGTGCTGTTAAGGCCAGACTCAGGCTGGACAGAGGGACCTTGTGCCCCTGGGCTGCTCTTGGGGGAAGCCGGGATCCTCCTTGGGATTCTCAGCTAATTTGGTCTTTGTGCACCAAACCCACCCAATTTGCCCTATCAGCCAGTCTCTGGCCCCCCAGCCCCCCCACCTTCTTCCTCCTCCTGAGTTGCTGCTGAACCTCCTATCCAAAGGAGTGGGAGGGAGGCTTTCCCTCCCCAGGGATGGAGGCTCCTGAATGAGCCATCCCTTCCCTATTGCCTGCCTTTGCTGGCCCGTATCTCGGCAGGCCTCCTCAATTTTTCTGCTCCCCTGAAGACCCAGCCCCCCAATCTGGACGCAGCCCCCAGGCAGCTCTTGGCAAGGCCAGTCTCCACCTGGCGGGGTCTGTGGATGGTTTGGGGGCCGGCTGGGCTTGAGCCCCTTTGCCTGTGGGGAGGGGGGTTGGTCACCTATGGCCCAACCACAAGACCCCCTCAGCGGCCTCTGATCAGAAATGGTGAGACTGCTGGCAGCCCAGGCCAAAGGTTTCCTCCTCCCTTGTCCGAATGCCCTTGGCCTAAAAACAGAAGACAGCCGGGGGGGGGGCTTGCAAAGGGTCTTCTGGGTGGGGGTGGGTGGGACATGAATGCTGCCAGTCAACCTTCCTGAGGAAGGGGGCCCCCAGCCCAGTTGAGAGATGTCTTGCAGGACCCTTGAGCCCAGAGCTGCTCATGGCCCAGCTCAGTGGGCCGCCCCCCCAAACCTCCCCCCCCCCATGGCCAAGATCTTCCTTTGCTTCCACCCAGGACTGCTTGGGGCTGGGCAGGGGGGAGCAGCCCCACCCCACCTGCACCTTCCAGGAAGACTTCCAGGAGTTTGAGATGATCGATGACAATGAAGAGGAGGAAGAAGAGGAGGGGCTGGAAGAGGCACCCCCTTCCCCTTCGGGGTCGCTGATACCTTCGCCCACCCCCGAGGACCCCCAGAAGCTTCGTCCCACCACCCTCAATTTGACAGTCACAAGCACCCAGGTGAGGCTCTGCCCACCCACCGTGGGCTTTGCACAGCCAGGCCGGGGCAAGGGGAACTGAGGCTGAGAGGGCTGCAGCCAGGTGGGGGTGGGGGGCAGTGGGGAAGCAGCTTTGCTCTCAGAAAGGGGGGTGGGGGTGGGGCATCTGGGTCGGACATGAACTTGGAAGGCGCATCCGGTACGGAGCTTGGGATGGGAAGCCAAGGGGCTCCTACACAGGGAGTCCTCGACTTACAATTGTTTGTTGAGTGACCGAAGTGACAACAGCACTGAAAAGGTGACTTAGGGCCACGGGATCAAAATTGGGATGCTTCCATTTATGACGGCTGCAGTGTCCTAGGGGCTCACGCGACCCCCTTTTGCGACCTCCTGACAAGCGAAGTCAAGGGGGAAGCCAGATTCACTTAAGAACCGTTTTACTAACTTAAGAACTGCAGTGATTCACTTAGTAAATTTAGCAAGAAAAGTCATTAAATGGGGCAAAACACACTTAACAGCAGAAACATTCGGTTCAATTGTGGTCGTAAGTCGAGGACTACCTGTACGAAGAGAGGTGCATCCGTCCAGCAGAAAGGCTGCTGGCCGAGTGGGGTTGGGGGTTGGGAGGACCCTGAGCTGCTTCGTGCAGGAGGCTGCCCAGGGCGTCCCCAGGCAGTGAGGGCATCAGGGCTCCTGCCCCACTTAGCGGGCACTGCGGCTCCAGCATCCCTTCTGCATCATGAATAAAGCAGGCGGGAGAGTGCAGGGCCCGTGGGGAGGGCGAAGGAGGCAGCACCCTCCACTTCTGATGTCCCGGCAGACTCTGGAGGGTTTCAGGGCGAGCACAAAGAAATCGAGGCGCCCCAGAGGCCGTTGGGGACTCCGGGGGTCGGGTGAAGGCAGCGCCCTGCCCAGCATTTGGAGGCGTCCCCAGCAACCGCTGCAGCCCCCCGTGGGGCAAAAGACAGGGGGAGGCAGGAGGTGCGGGAGGGGGGCGATTGCTGGACGGCTGACGGGGGCCAGGGGGAGGGTATGCTCAGGATGCCCATGTTCAGAAAAACTCTGGAAAGAGCGCAGAGAAGAGCAACAAAGGGGACGAGGGGGCTGGAGGCTAAAATACATGGAGAACACTTGCAGGATTCAGGTGTGTCTCACCTAGTGAAAGGAAGAACTGAGGGTGACATGACAGCAGTCTTCCAATATTTGAGGGGCTGCCACAGAGAAGAAGGGGACCACCTCTTCTCCAAAGCACCAGGACAAGAAGCAGCGGATGGAAACTAACCAAGGAGAGAAGCAACCTGGAACTAAGGAGGAATTTCCTGACAGTGAGGACAATTAAACAGTGGAACAGCTTGCCACCAGAAGTGGTGAAGGCTCAATCACTGGAGGTTTTCAAGAAGAGGCTGGACAGCCATCTATCAGAAATAGAGTAGGTCTCCTGTGACAGCGACCTCCAAGGTCCCTTCCAATTCTGTTAAACCAGCTGGGGCTGCCCAATTGACTGTAAGTCCAGCTGCATTTAATGGGCTTGGTGGCAGCCCCTACCCCACATAGCAAAGGGACATCCCCACTCTGGGTTTCAGAAATGGGTTTTTAAACGGTGCAGCACTTGCTGAAAAAGGTGGCAGTGAAGCAGTGAGTGGCTGGGTGGGTGGGGGAGGGGCTTCTGCCCACCAGTTCAATGAAGCCCTGCAGGGGAGTGACGTCCTGGGGAGGGGCTTCCTCTGCCAAGAGACTGACCTTGCAGGGATGCAAGCAGAGGCCACCAGGTGGGACGGGCGGACACGGGGTGTGTGTCATGTGGGCAGTCGAGGCAGCCGGCTTTACCAAGTCCCAGTCTGGAGGGCAACTGCACAGGAGGTGCCCACCTCCAGGGTCTTCCCAGGAGGGGAGACGGACTCTCCCGCTGGCCTTTGGCTGGGCTCGACCTCTGCCCTGAGCCACAAATGGTCTGGTGCACTGACTCACAGCCCACGGTTTCCAGGAGGTGGTCTGAGTTCACAGGAGCCCTCCGAATCGGTGTGAGGCCTGAAGCCCGATTTGGGCTGGGGCTCCCCCAAGCCCTTTCTGCCTCCGGAGCAATGCCAGAGGCTCACCTTTGGGCTGGTGCCCTGCTAGTTTTCTCTCCCCACTGCTGCTCTCCCCACAGCCTCTCCTGGATCCCCCTTCCTTCCTTCCTTCCTTCCTTCCTTCCTTCCTTCCTTCCTTCCTTCCTTCCTTCTCATTGCTCTTGATTGGACGCCCCACCTCTGCGCAGGCTGAAGAGGCCACGTGCCCAGAAAGGGGCCCGGAAAGGACCTGAAGGAGGTTCAGCCCCAAACGCCTTTGTCCCTGCCCCTGAGTGAACCTGCACACTGCCAGATTGCGGCCTTTGGGGTGGACATCTGAGGGGCCACAGTATTATTATTATTATTATTATTATTATTTATTGAATTTATATACTGCCCTACTCCCGAAGGACTCAGGGCGGTGAACAGCCAGAAGATAAAATACATACAATACAAACGTTAAAAAACCATTTAAAATACAATGTAAAATATAACATGGTTGACCATGTTAGCCATAAAAATAGGTGCCAACTACTGCCACAACTCCTGTGTGCATCCCAAGCATGGGTTAACTTGCACAGATCAGCAGCCCAGACAGATATTATTTTATTTATTTATTTAGAAGATTTCTATGGCTGCCCACTCACTCTAAGTGACTCTGGACGGCTTAGGAACGATAAAAAAGAATGATTAAGAATAGAAGCCATTTGGTTGTGTCACTGGGAGCCTTGAATGGGCAGCCTTCAAAAGAAGCAGAGAAATGTGATTCCCCTGCTGTTTTTCTAATACCCCAAGTGGCTCCTCTTCATTTTTCAACGCAGCACGGAAACTCTTCTCCAGGGCCACTTTTGAGATGCTTCGAGGTCCCTTGAAAGCCTCGGCTGGGTGTCCTTCCCGGCTGCCTGGTCTCCCCTGACCTTCAGGCTGCTTAAGCTCCTGCGGGATTTTTGTTCCCGTTTATGTCACAGGCCCATCACTAATCCCCTCCCCCCCTTGAGATTAAAGCTCCCCCTTCTGGGCTTCTAATCTGCCGATATGTTAACTTTCAGCTGGTTTCCGACTGAAGCTCCGTTTTTAGGCTAAACCTTCCTAGGAGGCAGGGGAAGATTGTGGAGCGCTCCCCTTCAAATGGGGGTGCAGGGCGGGGGCTGATCCCCTCTTTCTTAGCAGCTAGAAGACTGCTCAGATACAAGAAGTCCAGGTTGATCTCAACAGCTGAAGGGGAATCTGTCAAACTGGACATGGTTTACCTGGAAGAAGCCGAACGTATTAATAACCTTACAGATGGACACGTTTCCAATGCATAGATCCTACTCTGGTCTTGCTAAACTGGCATCATGGGGGGAGGGGGCATGGCTGGGGGGCATAGATGTGTCCTCCTTACAAGAACCTGCTGCCTAGAAGACAAAGTTAGACCAGAGTTGTGGTCATTAATAATGCCAGAAGGCTCCAGGAACCAATGGAGGAGCCACTGAAATACGACCAGCAACAGAAGAAGACTCAGCCAAGGTTTTAGCCAGCACATCTGTAGAATGACAGATGTGTATAGAAGCCAAAGCTACAATAAAGAAGCAGGATAGGAAGAATAACAGAGTTGGAAGGGACCTTGGAGGTCTTCTAGCCCACCCCTTTGATTGAGTAGGAGACCCTATACCATTTCAGACGAATGGCTGTCCAGTCTCTTCTTAAAAGCCTCCAGTGTTGGAGCATCCACAACTTCTGGAGGCAAATCGTTCCTCTGGTTAATTGTTCTCACTCTCAGGAAGTTTCTCCTTAATTCCAGGTTGCTTCTCTCCTTGATGAGTTTCCAGCCATTGCTTCTTGTCCTGCCTTCAGGGCCTTTGGAAAATAGCTTGACCCCCTCTTCTTTCTGACAGCCCCTCAAATACTGGAATACTGATAACATGTCAATCCTGGTCCTTATTTTCATTAAACTAGACACATTCAGTTCCAGCAAGCATTCTTTAGAGTGTTGATACCTCCAACTTTGGTGTTGGAGAAGATACTTGAGAATATCATGGACAGCCAAGGAAACAAACCAACAGATCATCAGACAAACCAACCCCAAGTTACAGAATCACGGAGTTGGAAGGGACTTTGGAGGACTTCTAGTCCAACCCCCTCTTAGGCAGGAAACTCCATAACTATACTATCACTGAGGACATTACCTAGTTGGGTCATGAAACGTTTTCAAGAAAACCGCCAAGCTCAGAAAGCACCAAGGACCTCATTTCAATCCTGAGCTACAATTATTCTCCTTTATTGAAACCTTATTCCATTTCAGACAAATGTTTGTCACTTAATGTACACATGACTGTTCTTCCTCCTTCCTATTCAGCACCGGTTCTGGATTAGAAACTCACGGCTGCTTCTTAGTCAGTTTTGTGGCTTTAATTACTCTGGTTCTTTTAGTTAGAATAAAAAAAAAAGCTAAGTAAGGAAAATATGGAGAATAAACAAGGAACTTCCTCTTTACGCGAAAAGCAGGCACCAAATTGTACCGACCAAAGGGCTGATCTACAGAAACATGGCACTAGGGCCACCAAGAAAGCTGCAGGAGATGGCAGAACATCACCTGAACAAGTTAAAACGGTACCCAATGCGGCAGTTCAAGGTGCCACTTGCGGTTTGTCAGCAGGCAGGGAAAACCCAGCTGGGCCCGAGAAGGAAGATCCACTTAGGTTCCTGGAGGATAAGGGGTGCTTAGCCCGAATCCTTTCAAGATAACTTACGCTCAAGATGTTGCTGTCCAGACCTTGTCAGGACATTTTATTTTATTTTGTTTATTTATTTGTCGAACATGTACGGGATAACAGGTATAAGTATAAACATGGACATGAAGACAGGAAATGAGTACAAATAAATGGGGACAGTAGGACAGGGAGGCTGGTGCGCTTCTGCCCGCCCCCATGAAACAGGAATGGTCAGATCTGCAACCAGGAGGCAGAAGAACCCTGCATCTCATGACGGGAAG